TTTTTTTTTAGACTACATGCAAGCGTAGCTCTGCACGTTTATCTGGAGAAAATCTTGCGGACTCTTTCAAATGTGAAGGCGTTCCACCTGCAGAAAAGGTACATCCAAATTGCACATCAGGACTTACCATCTCGATCAAAGTATTTTAGAAATTTGGTGTCCCAACCTTCGTTCCGGACTCAATCAGCTGTCCGCACACACATTTGATAAACATTGGATTCGGATTAGAAAAGGAAAAGCTGCTTTGGGAACTTCTTCTAAGGCAAATTTGTGTTACAAATTTTTGGAAGACCCTTACTAGTTTCGTTTCAGATTTCTTAAAATGTATCACTGCCTACTGCACTTTACCTACTCTGTTGAAATGTCAAAGAAAGATTGGGACTCAGAAAGCAAGGTAACTTTCTTCAACGTTTACAATTTACTCGAATTGCTATTAAAGGGTTCTAGATATTTGCTAATCGACTAAATAGCAGTGCTCGAGATCTTCGTCTTGGTGATTCGTTGCTGAATTGCATGTTGGGTGGATCTCCGGGACCATTGGCAGACAGGTGCTGCTCTTGTCCTTCTCCTGTTTTCTTAGAGAAATTTGACTTCTTCAACGTCCGGATAAACTACAGCTTAGTAATTCTCACATATGCGCTAAGCTAAGTGCACGATTTCAACACTATATAAAAAAGCATGGGGTTAATCTGTATCAAAACCAAGCCTTCAACCTTTTGCATAATTCTGATAAGTATAGTTTTGAGACAATATTGTACTTATGATAGAAACAGCTTGGAAGTTTACTCAGTCAACCAGTTCAAAGACGCATCTAATAAAACTGTTCACATTTTCAGATGGCTGGAGCGAACACTTGGGGTTGTAGGAATCCATTCTATGCGCGAATTTGTTGAAAAGAGATTCAGGTATCAGCGAATCATCTTTCGCATACTAAATTACTTTTAGTCTTTCGTCTGAATGATTTTGTTTTAGCAGTTTGGTGGCATTCTTGCGAGGTCAGGTATCAGCTTCAGCGCGATCGCTCGCTTATCAAATGGATCAGTTCGGAGAGATAGTGAGAGAATTGCAGGATGAGGCGAATAACCACGAGTGAGGTTTAGTTTATGTATAGCTTTTTTTGACTGAACACATTCGTACTTGCTAGGTTCACGTCTTCCACTCAACGCACCGTTTTAAATCCGATATTTAACGTGCCGTTGGCGGATACTATGGAACTCCCGGATGTCGCTGCAGACTGTGTTTTCGACGCTTTAGATCGCCATAAAGCACTTGCAGTAATTGACCGACTTCATAATGATGGAATTAGGATTCAAGCAAAGTGTGTAGAAATGACACTGGCTGCCACGAATAATCTGTGAGTTTGCTTTTTATGAACATTCCATTCTTTGGAATTTGCTGAACTACGACACTTCTAATTTGGGTAAATTCCTTTGATGTCTCATTAGCTGTTTTAAGCCGAGAGCTGTCGCATCTAGTGCGTTGGATGTCTTTGCTAACGCCACTACTTAAGAACACCAAAAGACCCGCTCAAGTTATCGAGGAGAATCGCCAATGGGACGTTGCGCAGCTTCTAGAGGTTATTTTTGTACCGCTTTTTTTGGTTCATATTATCATCATTGGCGATATTATAAGTATTTGAGAACCTAATTTTGAATTTCAGTACATAGTCCAGACGTTTGTGACGGAACCAGAGGAGCGTGAACGTCTTTCAAAATCTTTGTTCAAAATAGAAGATATATTGAAGGTATTGATTGATTGAGAATATGGAATTTATAAAATCGAAATAATAATTAAAAATTGTAATCGAAGGTTGGAGAACGTTTAGCTGTTGATTACTGCTTTTTTATATTACTTACCTAAAAATGGGGCTAACTTTCACATTGGTATTTATTTACTTGTTCTTTAAATAAAAACAAAAAACT